GCTCTTACCCCAGGCATAAAGTGGCTAGGGCGTGAAGCTGACCACTCACTTCCAGCTAGTGCCGAGGTCAAGAAAATGTGGCTCTGTACCTCCACTCCCCACTATGCCTTCATGGCATAGTGCTTAATTAATTAAGCAAAGGGACAATTTACCCTTTTTTTAGGTGTAAACCTTCATAATTAAATATAGGTGTGAGCTATTTTTATATTTTTGTCACACTGAGCTAAAGAAGAAATTAACTTCTAACCTTATTAACTGAATGTATTCTACTGTTGGAAAGAAAGCAACTGGATTCAAGTGGAGCTTCATGTAATCACGCTTAAAACACCCATCCAGTCACAAACCTGCTTCACATTCACTGTGCCAATAAATTGTTTCCTGCTCTTTCCATATTACCAACATATGATACTTCATACTAACCCTCTTTCCTTTGGTAGATGTTCACTGTAGGAAATTACATTTGGTGAGTCCTTTTGAAGGTGGTTTGGTTGAAAGACAGTCATGTATCACTGCAAGGCATAGCAGATCTGTTTTTTCTGTAGTTCTTGTAGCAGCAACAGCCTGAATTTCAGAGTATCTGTTCCCTTAGTGTTTGATACAGATCACTATATTGTCGCTTGTTTCCCTGGTAACGTACTTCTGAGAAACCAGTTGTCACACGTCTCCTAGGTAACGTGACAGATAACTTCCACGTAGGTCTAAGATTTGGCAAATATTTATTGGACACACTCTTTTACAGGCGTAAGTAAAATTGTTATCATGTTCAGTATCACAATTCTTTTTTCACCATTGATCTCGGTTTTTTTTTTTTACTTCACAGCTGTATGCATATACAATTTTTATTTCAGATTTTGGATTATTATTTCTAGCTGTAAATTGAATGTAGTGGGTTGTGGTAAAATTTATAGAAAATTTGTTTACTTTGAACCATTCATTATACTATGAAAAACATTGTTTATATTTACACAGAGATCATCATAGTTTGAACTTTTAACTAACAAACTAGTATCATTTGCAAATAATATAGGTACAGGTTTATCATTTATAGTTTTGGGTAAATTGTTTATATAAATGAGAAATAGCAGTGGACCCAGAATCTAACCTTGCGGGACACCATGTCTAATTTTGCTCCATGTCGAAAATTCATTGAGATTAAGATTTATATTTGTAATTAAAACCTTTTGTTATCTATTTCTGAAATACGATTCAAGCCATAGTTTAGCTTTACCTTTAGTCATAGGGAGGATAACTTCTAGTTGCTCCTTAAGCATTGACACCTTTCTTCCACCTCTCTCTCTCCTCCTCCACCCTGCCGAGACCAGTCTTGTGACTGCTGTTGAAGTAGTGTTAGTATTAATAGTCACATGTGTATTTGTTACTTAAATTCATTGCCCTCTGTATATTGGAAAATGCCAAATGTAGCCCATGCTAGATTCATGAAGTCTGAATGACTTTATTGTGTTTATATGTATTGTATGAACAGTAGGTCATTAGGTATCCTTTCCACATAGTCAAGGACTCGCATGTAACTATATTCTGGCTCAAAAGGTGCAAATTGTGAAATTTATGATTCAGATGTGGAGTATCTGAGTAAGATTTGAAAAGTTTGGGGCAGCCTCAAAATTCAGTTCATTTACTATTATCTGAAAAATTAATGTGTCTTTCTGTTAACTGCAGCCTTTCCACTGGTGGAGTTAAAAAAGAAAACTGAACAGTGGAAATTTCTTTGAATAGTATAACCTAAGTGTCGGCTTTTGTGCTATACCTGTCAGCATAAACATAGCTCTCGATTGTATTTCAGGGAAAGTGCTACCTGTTTTTAGAAACCACATCTCAGCTGTATCGGAGCCTGGCCCCAATCCAGCCATGGTTATACTACCTGCTGGAATCTTATCAGGGAACTGACAAGGTTGTTGGAGTATTCCTGTCTGCAGCATATATGGTGTCCAAGGGAACTGACCTTGTGAACAGAGCGAAACTCTGGCGAGGTGCTTTTTGGAAGTTGCTGCAGAATGTGGTATGTTGAATTCAAAATATTGTTGAATACGAAACCTACAACAGTTTTGTTAACAGAGTGTCCTTGTCTTAGCTAACTTAGAAATGGCACTGTACTTTCTTCTGTTGATAGATGATAACTCCTTTCAAAATAAGCACAAAACAAAATATTCATATTCAGCTGGAAAAAAATTGACAGACCTTTAGTACAGCCATAGCCACTGTACCAAGGGTTAGAACACAGTGGATTGATTATTCAGCTAATGAAACGAGGTTGACCTTGCATGTCAATGGCTGGGGTAAAATTATCTTCAGGTGTCACGAGGATAAACCTTTCTTACCTTTTGGTAAAAATCACTAATTTTAATTTCTTTTATTGAACTCCTGTCATCACTGCAATGGAAAAGTAGCAGCTGTGGTCTAGAAAACCAAAATTAACGGCTGTGGGGATTTGTTGCACTGACCACGCAACACCCTCTACCCGCTAAAGTTTGCACTAACTTCGCGGACAAGTGGCAGTCACTAGGTCGATATAGTTCGCTTGTGGACTAAAGCTAGAGAGTTTGTTTTGTTTGTCATCACATTCTCTATGTTGTGTCAGGCGGAACATGATAATTGATTAGTTTGAATCACACAACAGAATGCATTCCATAAAGATGTGACTGTAAACTCAGCTTTGTGGTGAAATCATGATATAATAATATCTTTTGATCACTCGGAAGGAGTAACATTTTCAAAACAATTGGAATTTAGGAAAATTGAACTGATTTTAGATCACTGTTTTAGCTTATCTCATTAAACTTCTGTAATTCCTATTGAATGTCATGATGAATTGTGTAACAGCCTACTTTGTATTTCAGAGAGATGGATTCAAACCTAGGCCTGGAGGCCAGCTATCACAATTTTTTTTTCCTAGTTTTCATCAGTCTCTCCAGGCAAATGACAGGAATGTACTCATATTAACCAATGATGACTTTCCCCCCCAATTCATTATGCACTAATTATCTTGTCATTTGTTGAACATCTTAAGTTGGATATGTTAACTAAAAAAATTATGAAATTGTTACCTTATTGGATGATTTGTTTTGGTTCTGATTTTGATCATGTATACTGACATAAAATTGTGAATAAGCTTATTTCCTAGAACTGGCAGAGAGCAAAATATCTCATCATGAATGTAAGGGTTAATTTCTTGAAAAGACAGAAAATCTGATAAATCTTTCAGTATGCAATGTGTGGTCTTACAGAATCTTGGTGTGAGCCCAAACAAAGACCAGCTACAAACAGCTGGCAGTCAGTGCCCAATCTGCCACGATGAATATGAAACTCCAGTTCTCCTCCATTGTCGTCACATCTTCTGTGAAGCATGCGTTGCTACGTGGTTTGACAGAGAGCAGACATGCCCTCTCTGTAGGGCTAAAGTTGTAGATGACCCATCATGGAGAGATGGTGCTACAACATATTTTATCCAGCTTTATTGATATCTCTCTGTTCCATAACCCTGGTGAGTTAGATGTAATGTATTCTTGCAAGATGTAAGCTCCTAGTCATTGGGGAGTTTGACAAGAAAACTGTTGTGTGTATGTGGATAATAAGAAAACTGAACTGAATGAAACTGGCAAGTGATTGAGCAGTAAACACACTTCCAGGTTTGCCTGTATCATAGTCATGAGTACTGATTGCTTGTAATTAAAACAGTTTGCATTTCATCACACCACTATTAAATTAGATGAATTTAGAGGCAGAGATTTTATTTTTTGGTTCTGAACCTGTCTATATGATTAGTAGACACTCTGATCTAGAAGGATCATTTATATTTCAAGAGAAAAGAATGCCATTATTAAAAGGCAAGATAAATAACAAAAAATGTGGAAAGAACTTACAGTACCTACTTTCCTTTCAAGTCTTCCATCTATATAAAAATGATATTGGAAGTGCTGATAATTATACTATTTAACGTTATATCTTTAGCTAAAATTTCCATCAGTGTAACTTACTTTGTCTCTCTTTGAAAATTGTTAGGCATAACATCAGTGAGAGTGACACATAGACATGAACATGGACATGATATTACAGGCCTCGTTTTTGTTATAAAAGTGAAAAAGCAGGATGAAAGTGAGTATGCCTGACAAGGAACTTGCTCCATTTGAGGAAAATATATTGACATTTTAGCTGAAATATATTACCCCAATTTGACACGATTTTTTCAATGTTACTATACTTTAAACTGGTAATAAAAATGTAGTGATTGTTTCATGTAACCACAGTATAAGAACAAATTTTTGTCATGATTTATATAAAATTAAACAGCAGCTGTTTCAGAGCTCTAAGAAACTACAGGCGTGATTGCTTGATAATAATATTACTAGCAATGTGCATTAGATTCCACACCTATTAAAAAGTTCTATTTTGATTGACATTTTTAGAAGTGGTGGAACCCGTTTAAGGAGAAAGATTTGTTTTAGATATTAAATTGAAAACACCATTTAAGTGTTGTGTAAAATAGTGAACATATAGACAGAATGATACATACTTGTATATTGAATAATCATAAAAATGCGGAGAGAACGCTAGAACACTTTCAACATCAGGTATTATTTATGCCCACACTGCAGATTTATCAGCACAAAGTGTAGGTAAGACTGAGCTTTATGATCTGAGTTTCTCACAGTAATTAGTTTTTGGGAATGTTTTTTAGTATGCAAGAAACTTATGACTTGGAGAACTATACTGCATTATCTCCAAGGTGAAAGATGACAACTGGAAGTTCTGGTTGTAATGTTGTCAGAAGTGTATATTCACATGCCTCTGGTGGTGGGTTCAGTCACTGAATGATTACTACTACTGGATGACTACTATCCTGTGCTGGCAAGCAATTCAAACCATGTAACATTCCCTATGCAAAGTTGATACATTAACCTTCTTACAACAAGCATAACAGTGATTCAAAAGCGTGTTCTGGGTAAGGACAGAGCTTGCGTACTGGACTTGTATAAGTCCCAGATTTAGTTTTAATAGTTAAAACTTAAAGTAGTCCATCAGATCCCAGACATGTCCAGTTTTCCATTTCCATGTTAGGTAGTGGTACAAAAAGTATTTGATGTTACCTGTATTTAAAGAAAAGTTGCTAAATGATTTTTAGTGCAAGGAATGTCTACAGATGCTGGAAGTGCGCTTTTTTAATATTTTAAGCAGCTTACGGTCATATGTATTTTATTTACCTGTTTCCAAAAGAGTAAACTTAAATATTTAGTTTTTCTAATATTATTGTGGCATATTTACGCCACACAGGAATTGTTGAGCCGCAGAAATCTGTAAACACGGCAATTACGCAACAATAAGGAAAACAGTGTTTTCTCTGTGCCGAGGCGAACCACACCGCGTTCGTTGCTAGGCAGTGCTGCAGTAAACACATTTTGGCAACAGCAAATCAATGCATTGCTGGGCAATGCCTCTGTAGATGCAGCGATTACGTAACAGTAGAGCAAGCTGTGTTTTCCGCATGTCCGTTCAAGGGTTTACAGGAGAGATTGGAATTCCTAAGAACTCAGTTCTCAGTGCAAGACAGCTGCAGGAGGTTCGTAGTGGAAGAACAGCTGAATGTGTGATTTGAAGGTTTTATGAGTGCTATAGTGCAGTGATATTGGGAGTATGTGGTTCAGTGAGACAGAGTCAAAGTCACATTGCGACTGACAGACAGTCAGTCAGTCAGTCAGTAAGTGTTTAGCCCCATCTGGGGCTCATGACCAGATATTAGTTATTACCGTTTGACAGTTACGGTCTTGTTTCTGTGGGGCGCCCTCTCTGACAAGAGGACAGGTCTGTCTATTGTATATGCTCCTGGACCTTGCCAGTGCAGTCTTTCTCGGGTCCGAGTCCCTTGGGACTCGCAACCATATTTTACTGTCAGAGATTTGAGACTTCCCTTTTCGTCACCTCATACAACTTGCAGGGTCACGGTGGAGGTATTCGACCACGCCTCCACACAGGACTCAGTGAGACATTTATAGCTCCCATGTTATAAATACATGAAGAATGATGGAGATAGCCTGAAGAGATTAGTGTGGAGTGATAGTAAGTTGTATAACTCAGTAACAGTGTTATAATTAATTGTAGGCTGTTAATAAGTCCAATTACCAATCCGAACCCCTTCTCTAATTACTAATAGACATGAAATTATATTGGACACTGACCACTGTTTGAGGTGTGCATGATATGTAAGTTCTAGTGAAACTGATTCAGGGATTGTTTTGGTTGAAGGAGTACACACCACTAAAAATAATCCCCATGAGCATTGAGGCAGGCATCTCATTGACACATCAGCAAATGCGTTCCCTCCACAACTTCCTGGGCTGTTGTTGGAACAACTACACCACTGTTGCCATGATACCTTTGTCCAACCTGAACATGCTAGCAGATTTCGTTTGAATGACTCAGATATACGACATCTGGGTAGTTGGCTGTACTCTCATCGTCAGTCAATCAGTTATTATTACACTGACTTTTTTTTTATTATTAATTCGTAAGAGTAGTGCTGACATAATGTTTTGAATGATAGGCATGAACACTAATGATGTATTGTATATTAAATAGCCCTTGTACAATGTCCGACATAATCTTTGTCTAATGAAGTCAATCGTTACGAACCTTAAACTCTTTCACTGGGTATGACAGAATGTTCTCTCATGGTCCAGTGATAACACAGTGGGTATGATGTACCATTATGTACTCTGGTTTCAGTTGCATAAAGCTCCCAAGTATGACAAGCTACAGAGCTGGAAGTATTACCATTGTAACATAATATTCATGTCTAGATGGCAGCACTGTGCGAGAGAGAGAGAAAGAACATAATACCTGGTAGACTTGAAAGGATTCTGACGATGGTGTATACTGTCTGGTATATACCAGATGATGGATGAAGTCCAAAATAAGCCAAAAGAAGTACAACATAATACCTGCCATCTATGCGGTTTTTCTCTATTGAATGTGCTGAGGCAGCAAGTTGAGATCCCTGAGTTTTCATAAAATGTCACCAAGTATTTTGAAGTGAAAGAGTGTAAATAAGAGAGTTTTTGGACTTTAATAGATCAGAATCTCAGAAATATAATGCACATACAGTATAATAATAGTTGCATTGTAAAGCATTTCAAACTTACAATGCTGAAAAAACTACCCACATTAGGTTACACCGCAGCAGATTAAAGTAGAGCAGGTCATCAGAACATTGTATGTATATAAATATATGGTGAGGACACTGTTCCATAAAAATTACACATGCAGTTATAATAGCAAGTTAAAGGAATTCAGATACAGGCAATGTTTATGGGAGACCAACATTGGCAAAACATATTGTCACATGATAAGAGTGTGACTATAGATGGGGTTTGGATTGGTAATCAGATTTATTGCACACTTATACAGCTTGTTACTACACTTCAAAAATCACTGGCGCTCACAGATTAGGGTTCTCAGTCTGATCCAGTCTCCACTGGTAGTTTCCTGGTAATGGTTTTAACAGTGAAGAATCTTCAGCTTCCGCACTCACTCCATTGCCTGCTGGCTGATACTCCATGACTGAACTCATTGCTTCAACTGACTAACTCCCAAGCTGGCAGCCATCTCATATCACCCTCTTAGTCTGCTTCACAGACTGACTTACAATTGACTGCAGCTCAAAGTTAAGGTCAGAGTTACTTTACAACCAGTGGCTGATGTCCCTGTTATATAACCCCTTGGCATGGACTGCGTAGAAAACACGGTTTCCAATAGTTTCTGTATTGTTGCATGTGGACTCATTGCCATGGGAATGAGTTTGTTTCGCAGTCGCTACCTAGTAACGGGTCTATGCACTACATTGCTTCCTACCAGTGTACCACTATTTCTCCTCCAAGGGCTGTGCCTGTGAACTCCTTCCCCGCGGCTCAGTTCTCCTGCTGCTGCCTCCTTAAGACTGCTCATCCCAAACACCTCCCTGATAAGGTGCCAGTGGGTCTATGTGTACTACCATCATCGTTCTTCCAGTCAGTGCAGGCAGAAGTTCAGAGAGTGGTCAATGCTCCTACATCTATGGCTCTTAAGCTGTTGTTTGCAGTCTCTTCTTTTGTTTTGGTGGCGGCTGACCCCTCCACAATGTCCTGACACTTGTTTTTCAAATACTGACGCAAGGTTGTACTCTTCATTTCACAATCTCCAGTACAAGAGCCTTCCTGAAGATCCTGCCTATGTCCTTTCACTTCCTAGATGTTGATGCGCCTTTAAGTGTTGGTCCCTTATTCCATTGCTGCATTCCTGGTGCATCTGTTGTCTCCTCTTGAGCGTCCCTCCTTTAGGGGGGCTGTTACAATATTGTCCCTGCCTGGTCCCTGATGACCATGTCCCTTCATGGCGGGTTATCCCTCTGTGGGCGACAGCCAACTTCTTTCAGGACCCACCATTGCCCTGGGTCCATTTCGGCATCTGTTGGCGGCACCCTGTGGCTAGATGCCAGTCCCCATACTGCACCTTCAGTGCTCCAAAATGATTCACTGTGTTCTCTTCCTTAGGGTCTTCCCTTTGCTCTGACTTGGACTCTATTTCTTCTGTATTTGCCTCCATATTTTCTGGATAGGGCTCCATCACTTCTTGTTATAGTGTTTTGGTTTCATACATACTTGTATATATTACTGTATTAAATGCAAGGTTTATTTTTTCTCATACACATCTTATGTTACTACAATATGTTTCAGACATATATGCCCATCATCAGGTATGCATGAGTCTTAATAAATTTGTTTCACTGTGTGCTGTTTTGTCATATGTCTATACTCGATGTTAATTTTTTTAATTATTTGGATGTTTAAAGAATGAACTTCAAAAATTAATGTAGAGTATAAACATGCGACAAAATAGAGCATACAGTGCAGTGATTTTAGCAGGACTGATGCATACCTGATGATGGCTGTATATGGCTGAAACATATCATAGTAAATAAGATGTATATGAGAGAGAAAATAAATATTGCATTTAAGATTGTAATATACTCGTACATGCATGAACTGTAATATTAATGCAACAGGATGCTTAAGTTTATTTATGTTTATTAAGAGATACATATTATCCTACATTCATGGAGGAAATGAAGTGTTAGGAATTCAAAATGCTTGGCAAATAGACAAGACGAACACCTCGTGAAGCTTGTAGTTTCATATGTAATCAGTGCACTCTGCCTCTAATGAAACTTGCAGGTTTGTTATCATGTTCGCAAAAGCCCACCACTGGATACCATCCTGAGCTAGGTTAAATTCAGTCCCCACTATTTCTCTAGCATCTACTTTAATGTTATCCTTAGATCTGTGACTAGGTACTTGGTCTTTTCCTTTAAGGTCTTCCAATTCAAATACTGTATTGTGTTATATGTCTGGTCCTTGATTTGATCGCCCTAATATTTGGTGAATGACACGACTTAGTAAATAAATTAAATACTAAAGGTGAAAAGAGCCGGTCATGGTAGCCGAGTGGTCTAAGGCATGTACTGTCTTCACTCGCTTGGAAACTGGGATCGTGGGTTCAAATCCCACTCAGGGCATGGATGTTTAGTTTGTGTGTGCGCGTTTTTCTGTGTTTGTGTACAGGTAGAGGCCTTGTGACAAGCTGATCACCTGCCCAAGGAGTCCTACTGAATGTGTAAGATCTAGAAAAACCGAAGTGAACGGAGAAGTTCACGGAGGTGGGCCTAGGCCCACTGGGGCTGTAGAGGCAAGGGGTGTGGGGGGGGGGAAAGGTGAAAAGAAAGGTAAAGGTATCCCTGTAACAGACTATGGAGGCCCATAGGATTGTGAGATGTCGAGGCTCCCACATTTTCTAGACAATCGGCTAGTGAGATTAATTTGAAAATTCTTGCTGTGATGTCTATTTTCATGTTAATAAAACTTCTGGCTCAACAGTGGATGGATGACCACCATAGATCCATGGTGAATAATATGTACTAATTAAAGTCAAATGTTTTGAAATGACTATAATAATGTCTCATAGTAATATATATACTACATATATGATTTATATAATGCCACTTATAATATTGTACTACAACCAAAGCTCAAAACTCATCCTCTTCAGTATTTAAATTTAGTGCACATGCTATATAATACATCTTACTAGAATTTTGTCATTTCTAAGAATGAAGCTAAAAGAAAACAAATGGATGTATTTGTAAATATATGCATTTGCTTCGTTCAGATTGTATAATTTTATTTTGTATCATAAGATATATTTCATTGTATGTTCTGACATTACCCTGTGAAAATACGTGATTGTAACTCAGCAGCCCATAAGGGTGATTTAATATACTGTACATGAAGGGAAGCAGTATTACTTTATTTTGAATATTAAACATGTCTGCAAAGATCCAGATTCCAAGTTCATGCATATCCCAGATGTAATAGTGTCATGTGACATTAAACATATTTAAAAGAAGTCATTATAATTTACAGTATTATAAAGGAAATGAATATTACAGAAACATGACAGTTCAGAGTTGGCAATTGAACAATGATGGAAAGTTGTAATTATGTTCTCAGTTTGTTAACTTTGCCCAGTATCAAAGGAAGTTCTGTGGAAAACCATATTTGATTTGTGTTCATGTAAAACTGTGGTTACATTGAACCAGTACAGACCAACCCTAAATCTGCTGGACAAGTTTTATTGTCAACTTCTCCCCATATCAGATTTAATCAGACTTCATGAGTAAAAACGAATTATACAGGCAGACACACTTCCCTTTACATGTATACACTCCATGCCCTTTTATGCAGTGATGCTAGTAGTTTGTATATATTACAAAATACCCCAAATTAGTAGTTCCCAATAAAAATACCGATTTGCATTCTTAACCTTTACCAGTTGTGTTACATTATTGTGGCAGTGCCTTCCCATGGTTCAGCTGCTAAAAAGTGCATTTTTCAATACCTGTGTTAAAATATGGTCACAAGCCCTATAAGACTGGGATATCTAAATTCTGCTATTTGCATATGACTAAAATGTTACCACTGTGAATGCCAATATGGCTGACATTCCTGGTGAATTTAAAAATTTAAAAACCTTGTTCATAGATGATAGGGCTTAATGTGTGTAAAAGTAATGGCTTTAGAGTAAAGTGCCATTAGCAACCTTTCGACTGACAGTATACAGTCAGGCTTAAAAGAAATCTCTCTTATCAGTGTTTATTTTTATGAATTCATAAGTAGATAGTTTTTGTTGCAGTGAAGTTAGACTTGTGCTCCACCCCCAGCTGGCATATCATTCTTTGCTCCGTTCTTCATATGTACTTATTCAACATATTCTCAAGTGTCCTCAGCACTGAAGTCATCATTGCCCTAAACAGCCACTGCTGTGGTGAGGTAAGATTGGAGAGAGTGTGCATATATGGCATTTCAGTGAACACAAAATGTATTAGGTAAAAAGTGCAAAATTCATGAGATGTAAAAGCTCATTGTGATGGTATACAGTGATCAGTTTTTTGGACACCCATATTTTAACAGCATACTCGTAGTATGTTTAATACTGAATTACAGCAAAATCTGACAAGCGGTTTATGGGATATATAGAAAAGTCCATTTATGGTGTTATGTAAAGTAGGCTTTGTGATCAGTGTGACCAAAAATCGGAGTGGCCAACTGATACTATACACAAGTATATCACACTGATTTAACAAGTTCATCAATGACTTTATGTAGAGTGGGCTGTGTTACAGATCTGTGAGGCTGAAAATCAGAATTGCCTGATAACTTTTAGTGAATTCTCCAATATAAAATTATAAAAATATGTGTCAAGTAGTTTAGGTGAAATACTATGTGATAGACAGATATGACTTCCACATAACACCTTTTTAACTTTGTAAAGATGCATAAAAGCTAATAAAACTTTTATGGACATCAATATAAAGGCTGAAATATATTAATACCACTGATGAAGGAACTTAAAAAAGTAAACTGAAATGTGTGGAAAAATGGAGAACATAGATGATGATAAAAATTTAAAATTTTATAAACAAAGGATCCATTATTTTAATTCCTCTTCTTTCTGAGGGTCTTGACACTTCTACAAATGTTACTGATTGGAAGTTCTCAGGGAACTACATCTCAAGACACACGAGTCCATGTTACTTCTCATTCTCTCCAGTAGCATTACAGCAAAAGAAATATATAATGAAATACACCTATATAACTTAATCATAGCTACTTAAATGTTTAAAAACACTGTTAATAACAAAACATAGAAAAGTAAAAATTAGAATATACAAAACTGTACTGCTGGTCCAGGAATTGGTCCTTTGACTCATAAACAAGTCACACCCACTGCACTGACCAAACTTATTTCTGTTCATGGATAATCAGCTTCAGGAACATCGACTGAACCTAATTCCAATGTACATCATTCACAAATAATTACTTCTAATTATAGTAATTTCTTTACAGGCACAAAACATTTCACAGTATACATATAAAATGTAAAGCATTATATAAATGAAGTAAATCAAGGTGGGTAACTGCAGTTATAAGGAAAATCGTTTTCATCTGTATATGTAAATTGAAATGGCACACACAGTCTGAACTTTTTAAATGATGATGAGTTGGTTCATCACATCAGAGGATACCTCAATGCCGCTAATAAACCTTTTGTCTCACTACACATATTTCATGCTATACTGCTTTAGTTGAAAGGTTGCCAGATTCTTTATAAATGATTGCTAGAATCTTTGTATACAAATATGAGATATCTGTCTTTTGTTAAAAAAAATTATTATTTTCATTTCCACATTTAAGCAAAAAAAATTGCACCATTAAAGGTTTGTGAAAGGAAGAAGTGATACTGTTTTCTAAGTATCAGGACAAGAGACTGACTAGACTATTGTGTTTATATATACATACACACACACAGATCCTGTTTTATATTTTCTTTCAGAATTATGTATCCTCAAGAACTTACATAACTGATCTCTTTTCACTACAAAACTGCTTTTCCATTTAGATATACACATGATAATATACCATGTATTATTTTCACTATCATGGTGTCAACATGTTGTTATTTATTAAGCTTGGCCGCCACTGTGGCCTGGAAAAAAGCACCATCTCCCCGAGTAGCTTGTTGATTAATTTCACGGTGCCGATCTCGACTAACAATCTCCTCCAAAACCTCTCCATCGCCCTTGATAAGCCTATCAAAAACACAACACCAAATTATTATTCCTCTTTTCCAATCTTTGAACCTTCAGATTAATACCCTATTTTGTTCTTCTGAAAGTAATTTAAGATAGATAAATATGAAACTTATCGGTATAGCAACTGGACAATGGAGGGGCCAGAGTTCAGTTCCCCGTAGGGTCAAGATGTCACTCAATTTGGTTTTATTTATATTTGCTAGAAATTGTAGTTATTCAAAAACAAAGCAGCAGAAGAGAATATATGTATCTGAGAAGTAGGAAGTAAAGACATTACATAATTAGGATCTTCCTACATAATTTCAGTTATCTACCTAATATTGTTAAGAGTCAAGAGGATGAGGTGGATGGGAAATTTCTGCAATGTTTTTGTTAAAAAAACTTGGCAGATGTTGGCACAAATGAGAGGATAATATTAAAATTCCTAAAAAAAAAGGTAAAGCCATCACTGTAACAGTCCATGGAGGCCCATAGGTTTGTGAGACATTAAGGGTCCCACATTAGACAACTGGCTCACAGATGGCAGTAAAGTTGTCATCCTTACATGCCGTCCGCCCTTTACACCCCCCCCCCCAGGAATATTCCTGATACTCATTTCTGTTAGAGGCTGAATCGAGCCCAGGGTCATAGTGTGGCTGGAAGAATTAGGTCAATTGAAAAAATTCATCTCAACGGGACTCAAACTCGCAAACTTCCGGCTTGTAGCATAGTGCCCCCAGAATCAGAGCATAGCTATTGTAAACATGGTAATGAACCTTTGGATTGCATAAAGCAATGAAAGGAAGTTCTTGACCAACTAAGCAACTATCAACTTTTCAAGAAGGACCATAAAACATGGAGTTGGCCTTATTACAGACAATTATATTTACATAATGCATATACCAGTACCCACCGATGTCGCCCAGTTTCCTCATCATACACTCTCCGAATGACACTCTGACGTTTCTCCCACTCTTCCTTGGTCATCGGAGCCATAGCTTTTGCCCTGTCCATCAGCAGCTTGTCTGCAGGTTCCTCAGACTCCTTGTCTCTTGGAACTTCTGGTTTCACATTCTGTGTCTTTTCTGTATTTCTTGTAGCTGCTTTTGTAGCCTTCTTATGCCGCCTCTTTTCTTTCTTGTGCTTCTTTTTCAACTTCCTCTCTTTTCTTTTCTTCTTTTTCTCTAATTTCTTAAGCTTCTTCCTTTCCTTTGCCTTTGATGGGCTGCTGTTTCTGGAAGAGCATGATGAATCACTTTGTGAATCAGCAGAGGTGTTAGATGATTGAGATGAATCTCTTGATTTACTTCTTATTTTCTTTGACTTACTACACACTTGACTCCTGCCAAATGTAGGTATATCTGTACTGCTACTGTGCTTGTGTTTAGCCATTTTAGATAGCTCATGTTGTTCTGAAGAGCCCTTGCTGGGCTTCTTATGCCTGGTCATGTCTGGAGATACAGATCGTGATTTTGATCTACTCCCACAGGATCTTTTTCTACCTGTCATGATGGAGTTGACTGGTGAACAACTTAAGACCTGAAAGAATAAGATGATAATACTTAACAAAATCACTGCCTCCTCTGTATGAAAAATGATGTTATACCATAGCACACATTATGTTTTGCATTATAATCATTATAAATGCATACAAATTTTTGTCTGAAAATCCAAATGGAATAAACCACGAGGCGAAGAATTTCTTGACTGGCTGAACAGCTATTAGCTTCTCAAGACATGCTCCATGGAGTCAGTTTTATTACATAATCATTACATATATCTCTACTGATAAATAACATTATACCAGCAATTTCATCCTCTTGACTTCCTACATGGCCCCAGTCATGCAAGTTTTTCCATCATCTGTCAGTAGTTACTAAATAAATTTTGCATGGAAAAAATATAAATTGTTTCCTTCATATAACCACATGGATGCATCTATGTATATACAGTGTTACGCTGATACTTTCACACTCCTTTTTCAGTAATACAACATCAAGGTACAAACAATTTACTACACTCCTTTAAAAGGAAGCTGAAAAGCATACACCACCTAAAAGTATGATCAAAAATTAAAAATTGTTGGCCACAACAATACATGCATTTTCATGCTATAGCATAAGTGAAAATGGTTATTTCAGTTATCATTGAGCATTCGTGGAAAACGAAAGAATGATTTAATTTCAGTTTTGGTGCCATGGCATGAAATGCATACATTACACCCAAAGAAACCTTTAATGAGTTGAATTCTGACAACCGATTCACTACGTATGCGATTAAGGTCGAAATTAGGAGGTAATAATGCTGTTTTAAAACGTTTATAAAATTCTCTCACATATAGGGTAAACAATCCGGTAAATTTAGGTTATGTGGATCAAAACGCAACACACATTAATACAGTTATTCTAAATATGACATTCACGTATTACTCATTCGTTCTATTTACTAAAATAGAGGCGTTGTCACATTAACGGTCTACATAAACATACAGAGTTATTATAAAATTACTATTCAAACAACCGCCCGAATAAAACATAAATTACTAACAATCCACCTCTCCTCAATCAGTGGCGGTCGTTGGTTGCTAGTTCTCCCACTAGGTTTCGCAGCGGTAGTTTGTGGTTCGTCCTTTTTGTCCTTGACGTACAGTAGGATCAGCTGCTTGTAGTGTTCTCATCAGGAGAATTGCTGCGGTAAGTGAAGAATTTTGTATACTCGTATTCTGTATGAAACTTGCATAGTAATATAATTATTTCTCTACAAATTAAGATTTTAGATTTGGAAATCTGTCGTATATTAATGAAAATAAAAATTAGCAGTATTTTCAAGTGGACCCGCCCCCTTAGGTTTTGAAGTACATTTTGGACAGTAATTCTGAAGTGCATATATAATTCGTAACGTGTAATTAATTGATTGAGTCACTATTTTCCATTTATTGTTATGGTAATTTTTATTCCCCGGAAAATTAATTTCTTCGTAGGCATCCAGGATTTGAGTATCAGCGACAATACTGTTAATAATAATAATAATTTACTTCTTATTTATTATATTATATTAATAAGTTGTAGTATACATACAAATAAATGAGCTTTCCGTTAGTATTATACTGGGAAAGTTAAGTGATTTCACCAGAAGACACATGTATGTCATCAGAAAGCGTATATGTAATTAGGTTTGTTGTTGAGAAACATGCCACCAGCAAGTGCCGCGAAAAGCCACAACACTCTTAGTGGATTATGGACGATGTATGATACATCAGTACAATATGATGCAAATATTCGAAAACATGACTATTACGTTAATTAGGCCACAATAAAAATAAGAATTAATCTTTGAATTTTGTCGCTGAAAAGAATTCACTCTCATTACAGAATGTTCTTTTTCGGTTAATATATTTTTCTGCGTTATTCATTCCATCATGTTTTCAGTGTTGAAGAATGTGACAGTGTAGAAATGTAAACAGAATAACCGGTCTCGTGTAACGATGCCAGAACTTGGTGTATTAAAAAAAAAAAGTTTGGTAAACCACAGATTATAATGTCTTTGAAGAGAGTACATAATTACGAGGGAGAAGAAATGAGCCAGTGATGATTATCTTATTGGTTTTAATACGTAAACTTCTTAAGATGCGCAGTTATTATATTCAAAAATACAGTTGTGATATGTTTCTCTTAATTTCGTGTTTGCCTTCACGTTTATGTTTGTAATGCTCTTACATGGCGCTAGGATGAATGTCGTTTGCATAATTTTAAAATTAGCTCTGGGTGGTAGTTTACTGTTGAGGTCATTTAGTTTCAATATTTAGACATCGGGCAACATTTCTGTTAAAGAGTTTATTGGATGAAAATCATTTTCTGTTTAAGTACATTATTCTCTTTCTAGTTTCTTTACACCTATATTTCTATACTATATCACTGCCTTAAATCTGATTTAAACACTTTCATGTTTCCGATAAAAAATACCTTAATGCATTGTTTGAAGGATAAGGTTGACCGTATACCAAAATGCATAAAGTTTCACTCATTCTGAACGTCACCAGTAGTTAGGGTCATGTAAAGGACGTTACCAATAGGGAGGACAACGTTTATAAATACTTATCACCACACGCAATTATTGAGTGCAAATTTCTCCGTAGCCTGTTCACGCTTGTCCCAAAGTTATGTAGGCCAAGTGAAAGTTTATTTGGAAGCAGACCCACATTTGTATCAGAAAATTTCCAAGTGAAAAAAGAAAACTTGCATCGTCTAAGTTTGTTCAGGCTGGGCCCAGTTTGCCGGTTTTTGAACTCAGTGCGTGAACAGACGAGAGCTTTGCGCGAAAGGATTGTAACGTCGTGGGCATGCGCACAATGTGGAGTTCATTGCTCCAGGCCACCATCGGCGCCTTTTAATTCTTCCTGGCATTTGTAACTGTATTTCTCCGTGACGCAACCCGTCAAGGGGGGGGGGGAAGAGGGACAGAGTTTCCCTTAAGTAGGGCCTACCCATAGTTTTCCTGAAATGTTTTCGCAGAAAATAGAACATTGTTCTCTAATATGTTTTGAAAGTCCATCACCCGATGCAGTTTGGGCTTGTTATGTAATATGTTTTCAAAATAATCATCCGATGCTATTTGGGCTTCATCCCCCCCCCCCAAAAAGATTCTGCATTGGATTTGCACAGTATCGTAACGGCAATTCTACGTTTCTAGAATAGCTTAATATTCCTCACGGCAACGTCCTCTTTCGAAAATACGTTCTAGTAATGCTGACTAAAAACGTCAAGATTAAACTATACAAAACTATAATTTTCCTTGTAGTTTTATATGGATATGAAATGTGATCGTAGACTGAGGGTGTCTGAAAACAGAGTACTGAGGAAAATATTAGGACTGAAGAGGGATGAAATAACAGGTGGCTGGGGAATACTGTATAATGAGCTTCATAACTTGTACTCGCCAAATATCAGTAGAATTATCGTATCAAGTAGGGTGAGATGAGCAGGGCATGCAGCACACATGGGGGAGAAGCTGGATGCATACAGGGTTTTGGAGGGAAACCCTGAAGGAAAGAGACCACTATGAATACGGGGACGTGGAGGGGAGTATAATATTAATGTGGATCTTAGAGAAATTGGATAGGCGTATGGACTGGATTCATCTGGCTCAGGATAGAGATCGATCGTGGCTGTGAATATCTGAGTGGCTGAGTGATTGTTGGTTTCTCAAGGACTTGGCTCCATGGAGTTAGTGTGATGTATTATTCATAATAAATTTCGAAATTACTTGTATACTTTTAGAATCTGTTAGATTTGAATTTTCGCCCTGAAACTATACCTGCATTCCTTCCCAAAATTTCTTTGTAGCAACACGTAAAATATTTCTGAACATAACAGAAGAAAGGACGTAGCGAGAATAACAGTTTTTTGATACAGCATAGCGGAGTGTGAGACTGCCAGGGGCCCTCTTATCTTGAAGCTTTTCCCCTCCATATGGCGCAGCTTGCTTTGCCAACGTTGTACCCGCGTATTCAGATGAAAGGGGAAACTCCGCTGCAAAATCTTCGCTTAAGTCAGTTTATTCTAGAATCCATTCCACTGTATTGCTTTGTAATGCATATTTATAAATGAGGAGCGTCATAACTTGTACTCTTCTCCAAGTATAATTAGAATGATCAAGTCAAGGAGGATGAGGTGGGCAGGGCATGTAGCACGAATGGGGGATAAACGCATGTAGGATGTCGGTGGGAAACCCAGAAGGAAAGAGACCGCTGGGAAGACCAAAGTGTAGGTGGATGAACAATATTAAAATACATCTTCGAGAGATAGGCTGGGATGGTATGGATTGGATTTATCTGGCTCGGGATCGGGACCAATGGAGGGCTCTTGTGAACACGGTAATGAACCTTCTGGTTCCATAAAATGCTGGGAAATACTCGAGTAGCTGCAGAATTGCCGGCTCCTCAAGAAGGGCTCAGCTCCGTAAGAAAGTAAATAAGTAATGTATATTTATATGTAGACACCCCCGAACAATCTGGAGAGTTTAATATTCATATGAAATATACTGTGAACGTCCAAACCTGTGACAGCTCTCCGTGGACGATATTGTCCTCTTTAGTCGGAAGGGTGACTGGTTTATTGGTGAGACCGGATTATTAGCGAGTTATGACTTGTTTTTCGCACCTGGACAGAAAACAACTGCATTATCATGTGAGATTTGAGGTTTTCACGACGGTGACTATGAAGAATGCCGTCTTCTGGAATGTGACGCCGTGTATATATTGTGTTAACCGACGTTTCGGAGGAATGTCGGTTAACAGAATATCTACACGGCGCCACATCCCAGAAGACAGCATTCTTCTGCCTTGTTTCTGTTTACAATCAGTTTGTATGACAGGTAGGTGACAAGATTATCACGGGAGGCAAGTCTGTAGTTTTCCGAAGATTGCAATTTTGTTTTAGTTGACATCCTTAGGTGGCATAAAGCGCTTTCGGAACATGTAACCGCTATATCTTGTGAACTGCTTTACTCTCAGAAGTCATGTGACTGGCTTGTGCTGATTGCATGATGACTTCGGTTACTTAAAATCGGACAATTGGAGACGAATTCTTATCTGAGAGAGAGGCTGTCAATTCAGATCCTCTTGGGGATGAAGGGATGCTCCCGCAAGATACATTTCTTGGGGGAGGGGGCTTGGCTTTTGGAATTAATCGTAGTCAAATGTAATTGGGCTGCACTCCTCATGTTTCTCTAAATTCATCAGTCCTTCATTTTGTAACTTTAAAATTTGGTAATATTAAAGAGCCATTTTACTTGCTTGCGAAGGAAGTCGCGAAGTTTCACTCTCGGACAAATAAACAGTGTATAGACAGTAGAAGTTGTGTTGTTGATTTGAAGCGGTGGCCTGTCTTCTAGAGTGCAGCTACCGGTTGTCTTAGTGTCGTGACACGAACCTAAGAGGAGTTAAGCGAGATACCGAAGCCAGCATAAGTACTTATAATTACAAAGGAAGGAAAGGGGACGGTTACAATACCGACTGTGAGTCCAGAGCGTTACTACTACGCCACCCATTCGCTACTTAATAGGCTTGCATCACGTTGGAAGACAAATTACAAGTTACCGGTTCTCACGGTCTCTTCGCCTGCGGATTTTTTATATTTTTCCTTCTACCCTGAAGATGGAGGCGATACGTTCCTCCGAAACGTCAGTTAACGCCACATATACACGGTGCCAAATCCCAGAAGACTGTTTTTTTCATAGTCACCGTCGTGTAAACCTCAAATCTTACAAAACTGAAGGGGTTTACCTAATATTATTATTACTCCACAAGACGTTTCGGCTCAGACAGGCGATCATCAGGTGATTCTTGAGGAATGCATAAATGCTGACAGAATGCGTGTAGACTACATTGATAGTATATAATTTTTGTTAGTTAAAACTGGGTCGAATACGACTTTAAATCATATACACACGTATGGAGTATTAAGTCGGAACCGACCCAGTTTTAACTAATAGAAATGTTATATAAGCTTTGTAGTTTATACTCGCATGGATTCCGTCAAATTTTATGTATTTCTCAAGAACCGCCTGTCTGGGCCGAAACGTATGGTGAACTGATAAATAAAAACATCTGTTTATGTGACGGTGAAACCTCCGTTTTTATTTGTAAACATCATAGACAAGAAGCATCACTGCAAGATCATAGTTGATTACCGTC